CAGTGTCACTGGCCCTCATATGTGGGATCCGAACCGGGGCCCTCTGGCATCCCAAGCGAGTTCTTAACCATCGCGCCACTCGGCCGGCCCTATATGCTGGATTTTTTATTATGTAAGATTTCATTGGCAAAAAGGATTTTGCTGCTCTGCTTAAAAATAAAAACTAGGCATACTACTTATCTTAAATAAGCTGTTTATTCTAAAGGTGAGGAATGAAACAGAAATTAATGGACATGGATGGCTAAGGTTTTGTCTATAAGTAGGCATCTAAAGGGATGGATGCCTTTTCTGTTTATAGTAAAGCAGCAGAATCCATTTTTCTTAGATCCATGTATATCTTGTGTTTTTATCCTTTTAAGTATTTGGTGAAATAGAAATACCAGTTCACATCTTTTGGAATTAAATACTCTTTAATTGTATGGTTGATTTGTTTTTTGCTTTTTTTTTAAACAACATACTCTTCTTTCTAAAATTAGGTTGGTAGTTGAACCTGGGCTATCAGTGATAAGGTGATTTATTATACCGTCCTCTTTTTTGTTTGTATGTTTGAAAATCCCCTTATTAAAAAATTTTAAATAGATTGACACATATATTGTGAATTAAAATGTATTGGAGAATTTTATGACAATCAAAAATAGATAGAAATCATTGATGTGTAAAGAGAATTGAAGCACTCTAAAAATGAGATGGATGGGAAACTCTAATAGTTACATTTGAAATAAAACAGTTTAAAAAACTTGCCATGATAAGTCAATTATATCTCAATAAAACTGGAAAAAAAACTTAAAATGGCAAATGGATTTTAATTTTTGGAAGGACTTTATATTTGAAAATGGTGCAATTTTTATATTAAATTTTTATATTAAATATAAAATTTATACTAAATATCATTGTTACTCTTCTTTTTAGGTCCTGGCCTGGCAATCAGAGTAATATGTGCTGAAGAACCTTATATTTGTAAGGACTTTCCTGAAACCAACAATATTTTGAAAATAGTAGCTGATTTTTCTGCAAGTGTTAAAAAGGTAATAATTTACACTGAATTTGCATACTGTGGGAGCTTTAAACAGACACAGCTAATCAGTACAAGAAATTAAATGGATTCTTGTTGTACTGCAGTATTTACAATGAATTTATTTGAAAATTCAGATTTGCAATGGCTATGAAGAAAATATTCTACAGAGACACTTAAATGTGGACTTCTCTTTCTAGCCATACAGTAGATTGGATACCTGAATATTAAAAATGCTAAATACGAAAGGGTGTTCTAGCTCCAAATTGATGATGAATGGAAAAGTCTTCCAGTCCTTCTGTAGATTTGGTGCCTAAATTCATAATCTGTGTGGTCTGAAAAACCACAAGCTAAGAATTTTGAGATTTAAAGTGGACCTTGGTTGGTAGTGCTTCCAGGTGTCAGGAAAGAAGCAATGTAAATACTCTGGGTATTTTCAGCCAGGCCTCAGCTGTATCCCATAGATACAGTTCCAACGAATATGAGCTCACAATAAAAAATTACAAAGTATGTATAGAAGTAAGACAACATGAATGAGAGCTAGTGGAAACTAGAGGAACAAAACCCTGAAACACTTCAAATACTGAAATTAGCAGATAGTAAGCTATAGTAGATAGTAAGCAGATAGTAGCAGAATATAAAGTACATAGAATTAAAAAACAATTGACATAAGAATAAGGCATATGATAAGAGACTATCAAAATGACCGGGCAGCTTTGGAAAAAAAGTTCTAGAGATGAAAATAACTGGAATTAAAGTCAGCTAAAGAAAGAATTAGTGAACTCGAAGACAGATGTTAAATTATCCAGAAATCTGAACAAAGCATCAGAAAGAAAATATGGATAGAAGAGGTTAAGGTAGAATGAGAAAGGCAACTTTAACATATATGCAGAAGGAGATAATAGACAAAAGTATTTGAATTCCTCCACACTGGTTAAAGACACCATGCCTTAGATTCAGGAAACATAACACACCTCTGTCAGGATAAAGGTAAGAATTTGACACCTAGTTGGCATACCTAGCAAAACTGCAGACTGCCAAAGACAAAGCAGCTGCAGAGAGAAGATTGATTACCCTACCAAGGAAAGACTTCATAGTGCCAGGAGATAATAATTGTGAACAATAGTGAACAGATAACTGTCTTCTAAGAACCAGGGCAAAATAGAATTTTCAGATAAAACAATTTACTGTTAACACTCTGTTACTTAAAGAACTAAATAATTCAGTGTTTCTCAAACCTGGTTGTGTATTAAAATCATCTGGGGGAGTTTTTGAAGTATACTGTACTTGGGCACCTTCTCCCTAGAATTTTTCATTTAATCTGAGATGGAACCTGAACATACCCAGTAATTTGAATGTGTAACTAGGCTTGAGAACCACTGACTTTAGGAGAAGCGAAAGGATCCCTGGAGAAAGGTCTGAGATGGAAGAAAGGATGGTAAACTAAAAAAACCATTAAATGGGTAAAATTGAAGCAAACATGGATTATATAATAAAAATCTATAATTGTTGGTGTTTATTTAAGAAATATTATGATATATAGCTAAAATAGCATGTAAACCACAAGGGGATTGATTGGTGTTAAAGCATTTAAAGATGCTAGCATTGTTTGCCAGAAGGTCAGAGAGATTGATTCTCTTTTGTTAAATATCCAAGTTAACACAGGGGACTCTTAGGGCCGGCCGAGTGGCTCAGTTGGTTAAGAGTGGGCTCAAGAGTGCGAGCTCTGAGCAACAGGGTCGCCAGTTCGATTCCTGGCTTGAGCTGAGCTGCCAACAGGTGGCAAGATGGCTCAGCTAAACAAACAAACAAACAAAAACAAAAAAAACCACAGGGGAACTCTTAAAAGAATAAAAATAGAGGATTTAACCTCAGAATCAGTAAGGGGAAAATAAGTGAGCTGAGAGAAATCAGTTCAGAAGAGTGTAAGAAAGGAGAAAGAAACATAAAAAGTGGGACAAACAGAAACTACTGAATGAAATGGTAGAATGAAATCCAACCATAACATTAACCCACAATTAATTAAAAGGACCAACATCTTTAGTTAAAACATAAATTGTCAAACTATATTGAAAAGTAAAACTTAGTCTCTTTACCTAGGGATAGAAGAGGTAAAAGAATGGAAAAACATATACCAGTCAGATACACCAAAAAAAGGAAGTAGGTGGATTATTTTCAGACAAAATTGACTTTATGTCAAAAAGTTTTATTAGAGATGAGGAGAAGGTTTGATTCATGTAAGGTATGTCCCTTGCTTGTGACAAGGGATTACATCTAATCTGTATTTCTTCTCCTAATGTTTAACTTCTCATAGCCCTAGTTCTCAGGAATGAAATTCTGATAGATAGCATTGCACACACAAGTTAAAGAGAAATAGCAAATAGGTTCTATTGCTATAAAACCGCAAGAGTCGATACATAAGATAGTAATAGATACCAAACAAGTGAGTGCCTTACTTCTTGAAAGCCTAAGAAATCTCTCTGGTTTTCTCAGCCTCACACGCTGTTACAAAGAGTCAAAGCCTGCACGACAGAAGAGGATCAAGAGAAGCTGATGCAAATTACAAGTCTGCACTCACTGAATGCCTTCTTGCTGCCAATTAAGACTGTAGGTGTGCAGGTGAGTTGTGTGAAATTGACCTGTGACAAAAATTTTTGCATTTTTTTCTTTCCACTAATATTGAAATAGGAATGACTTAGGAAAAATGAAATATGAAAGTATATACATCAAGTTTAGAAATGTAAAAAGGAAGTGTTTTATAGAATGTTTATGGAGTGGATAAGGTTATAGGAACTAAATATTCAGGCTGAGATTTTGTGGTTTTGGAACACCTGTCATCTCTAACCAAAAGTAAAAATTTAAAGAATGATTTACTGTGGGGTTGGCTTGCTTGCTTCTGCCTTGAAGGGGAGGTACCAAGCGGTCATGTCCTCATTTATCGGTCTCGGTGTGAAATATACTTTGGCGTTAGAAGTCTGTAACTGCAAGGGCCCCCAGATGAACATGTCACACCATGTAGGTCTTGTTCTCAGCTTGTGTATTTCTTAAACCAGTGCTCTCTGTTTCTTCAACGTGTCCTCTTTCTTTTAGCTGTGATCATGTACAACTAACATGTTGTATTTTTTATTGTGTCTTTCCAATTGTGAAAGCACGTGAGGATAATACAGTTCTCACTTTTAAAATGCTATTCATAATTAGATTATATTAAGTTCTCCTTTATATGATGCTCAAGTGAGTTTCTGGGGGAAAAAGCTTGGGGGAGAGGAGAGTAGGTAAGAAGGAGGTTTCCTTTCTGTTATTTAGAGCTGGTAGTTAAATGAAAACTAGAAAAATGGTGTGAGTGCCAGTTATTTGGGTAATGTGTTTATAATGGCCTCTTAGAATTATGTGTGGAAAGAAATGAACTGTTTTAGGTGTTATTTATCTAAAACTTAATAAATACACTCTTTTTCCTAAATTTGTTGGATGAGTGAATTCTTTTTTTTTTAAAAATGAACTTATTCAGGTTCCACTACTCTTCCCATCAAAATTAGATTCTTTTATTGTTAGATGTTTAACTTTCTTCTAGTCTTTGAGACCTTTGGAGAGCTTTTGAAGCCCCGGTAAAATCGTAATTCATGGTTTCTATAGCAGTAAAGTTTATTTTCTAAATAGCAACATAAACCATACTTGCATACTTGTAGAAAGAAAAAGAAAAATGCAGTACATTTAAAAAGAATTTTCACTGTTCTTGCTCTCCAGTTGCACTGTATATGTTCTTCCAGATGCATTTATTTTAAAAAGAAAAGGGAATTAGACGCATTGTCACCTGTTTTTACCTGTACATCATGAACTTATCTTTTCAACTATTACAAGTAGATTATTCTAACTGCTTCTTTATATTCCATGTATTGTTATACCGTACTTTAATTAATCTTTCCCATACATATGGACATTTAAACTGTTTTCAGTATTTTACTATTATAGGCATTTCAGCAGGTAATGTTTTATTTCTTCAAGCAGTTATTCATGTGCTTCTGTAAGATCATTTCCTGGATTAAAAGCGTGTACACTATGAACTTTGATAAATATTATCAAATTAACATTCTTGTTTTCTCAGTTACTGGTTATTAGGTATTTATCTAATGAATCTTTTAAAATTGCTTTTTAGTTTGATTTTTTTGAAAAGCAAATTAATTGGATTAAACAGGACAAGGGAAAAGGGAATCAATAGTATTACCAGTTTTATTCACTTTTTAAGCTCATTTTTAACGAAATGGGTAAGTGAATATTTACGAAATTATTTTTTTTATCTTTTACGTAAGCTTCCTTCATTGACCTAATTGACATGGGCAGCTCCTGTCTGCCAAATTAAGTGTGCTGGCTGTCCTCAGTAGGGCAGATGCTTGGAATGAAATCCCAGTGAGTTTCTGGCCTGTGTTCAATAAATTCTTGAAATTACCATGACACTTTCTTTATGTCTGAACTGATATAGGTAGAATTTAATGTGAGGTTTCAATTTAGGATTTATTTATATCAGAGAAATATTGATATATATTTTTATTTGAACAAGTTTTTGTTTTAAAAGAAAATACTATTAATGGTGTCACCATGCACAAAGTGTTTTCCAATCCATCTTTGACTTCTATAAAACCATTAAAAGTTATTGATTATATTTTTATCCATTTTTATTTCCAGGGTGACTGTCGTTCCTACAGTTACGTGTGTGGAATCTCCAGTAAAGATGAGCCTGACTGGGAATCTCTTATTTTCCTGGCTAGGCTTATACCTCGCATGTGTCACAACATTAACAGGTGTGTTCTGCAGTTGGATGCAGGGGGTGAGGTGTAAGGGAAGGATGTGTTTTTAAAAGTCTTTCCACTATTGAAAGACCAAAAGGCACAAGTGTAGATACAGGTACGCACTTAGGTCACTGTTTTGAATAGATATTAATAATATCTTGTGTTTTGTTCCTTCAGCACGATGCAATCATCTGCTTATTTTAAATTTTTTTTGTTTAAAGGAAAAAAGGATTTTTATTTTAGTATAAAATATTAAGTGTAGTTTTAAAACATGTCTTCCAAATTAGCAGTTTAACTTACTTTATGGTAACATGTTTTATTCCAAAACAATTGAAAAAATATCTAAAGGTTAGAGAATTACCAATAGGGACTTGATTAATTTAATAATAATTCCAGGGGAAATCAAAGAAAAGAAATAGGTATATGCTAGATATTAAAATTACTACATATATAATTTATTTTGAGTTTAGTTTTTCAAATTCACCTTTCCTTTAAATTGCACATTAATTTCTTAGGTTGGATATATCAACAGCTGATTTATAATCTATGTGTAATACTCATTTGCATTATGCTATATACAGTTAAAAAATCTCAACTTAATTGTTCATTAATATTCATATTTCACAGTTGTTCACTCTTGCAGTTTATTTATTTATTTATTTTTTTGTGGGTACAAGCACAAATAATTATATGAACAACCAAAATAATTATTTGACATTTCAGTTTACTTAAATTTGCTGCAGAAATTAGAAACCTACCCACTGGTGGTCACCTAGCAGGGTATGTGTATTTCTCTAATTGCCAGCTGGTATGACCTTCAAGATAAAGAGTGTCAGGGAAGCCATATTTTTAGTAATGGGAATATACCCATTAAAAGGCTTACTCAGATGAACTGAAGGCCCCCGCCCCCCAAAACAGAAGTATCTTTAATATACTGAAAAAAGTGAATGATTAATAAATAGTGGTAAATTTGTAGTGGAGATGATTGTTTTGGTTAAAATAAATTATGGTTCATAATCTATCTTTTGAATAACGCTAATACTTAAATAAACTTATAGGTCTTACAGAATATTCCCTTACCCTAAGTTTGACTCCACTGTTTTTACTATATAATTAGTATGTTTTTCATTTTACAACTTTCTTACAGTTTTATCTGTGTGTGTCTCTCTCTCTCTCACTCTATTTTTCTTTTGCCAGAGGGCACTCACCCTTTTTTAAAGTTTATCTCTGTCCTTTTATGTGCTGCTACCTCTGCCTGTCTCTTCTACCTGTTTTTCTCTCCCTCATTTCCCAGTCCTTCCTCCCTCCCCCCAAAAGAAAAAAAGTCTAACTGAGCAACAAAAAATTACATTTTAAAATATGAACCTAGCAAACCCTTAAAAGAGTCTTGGTGAATTTTAAATTTCTTTGCCAAGCTCCTTTTTGGGAATTGGAAATAAATTTTAAAATTGTTTTCCATTTTTGCCAGTTTTTTTCTCCCTAATTTGCATGATGAAATCTTTGTACAGAGAAGCTGCTCCAGTTTTTCTGTTCTTGTGGAAGACTACCTATCCCTGTACATTTTATGACCACTCTTGTTTGTAAGAAATAAGACAAAAACAAGTTCATGACATTCTCTTGCCTGGCTGCTTTCCCCCCTAAGGATTGTTTATGAGCTCTGGAACAATGCTGTGTAGTAGAAGTGTGACTGACTTTCTGTGGGACGAAAACCTTCCCGCTGCAGTATGATTGGAAGGAGGCAATGAAGTAGTTGGTACTAGTGGTGGTTTTGATCTGATGCTGTTTTCTTCTGTTTTATTCCGAGTACACATTAAGTAAGGAAAAAGGAAAAACATTATTATACTGCACCATGGTAGTTGCCAGGGAGATTGATTTCCTTTGTTAAAGACAGATAGGGCTAAGAAAAATGGACAGTTGCCTGCTGGCTGGAGTTGGAATGGGGAGAGCTGGATGGCACTCATATCTCTACTCTGATGCCTCTTGTTTTCTGGGCTAAGGTTGTGGAACAGATCCTCCAAACCAGTGGTAATATTCCCTTTGAGTTGTTTGATCTGAGTTTCCTCAAGCTAAGTTCCAAACTCTGCTTTTATTAACACCTGCAGTGCTGTATCTTCATATCTTTCAAACATATTTACTTAAAGCAGTAGTGAGTTGTTTCTTTTGAAAGGAAATAGTAGGATACCAAATTTTGGTGACATTTTTAATAAAGTGGGAATGAGAATCTTTCTTTGGGATCAGTGTTCCCCAAAGTGAAAAATAGATGAGTGGTCAAATAAGTTTGGGAAGTTCAGTGTAGTCTCATCTTGGAGGTTTCCGGTGCATATTACAATTTCTTAAGTTTTGTCATAAAACAACATACTTATTTGTTCAACGCAGTGTTTCCTCAAGCTTATGTGTATTAATTTCCTAGGGTTACTATAACAAGTTACCACAAAGAACGAGGCTTAAAATACCAGAGTTGTACAGTTTTGGAGGCTAGAAGTCTGAAGTCAGGGTGTCAGCAGGGCCAGGCTCTCTATAAAGGCTCGAGGGCAAGATCCTTTCTTGCCTCTTTCCTAGTTTCTGGTGTTTGCTAGCAGTCCTTGGCTTGTGGCAATATAGCTCCATGCTCTGCCTTCATTTTCACATGGTCCTCTTTGCTCTGTGTGTGTTTTTGTTCCCAAATTTCTCTCTTCTTAGAAAGACACCCAGTCATTGGATTAATGCCCATCCTGATCCATTATGACTGTGTCTTAACTTGATTACATCTGCAAAAATCCTATTTTCACCCAGAGATTCCAGATGGATATGAAGTGTTGGGGACACTCTTCAGCCCAGTACATTATATGAAGAGGATTGTGTTAATCACATGTGTTTTTGCACCTTATGAGATACTGTTATTCCAGAGAATACACTTTGAGGAAAGTACATAGAACGTAGACCCGTCTATAATTTTATATCTTAACGTACCCATTTGGGGATTTGAAGTGTGTAGGACGGGGGGCTAAGAGTAAATGGAAAGAATATTATTCTGTGTGCCTTGCTTCTCATCTAAAGTGTAATTTTTCTATAATTTTCACCTCCCGTCTTCTAGAGTTGTCTATATATTTGGCCCACCAGTTAAAGAGCCTCCTACAGATGTTACTCCCACTTTCTTGACAACAGGGGTGCTCAGTACTTTACGCCAAGCTGATTTTGAAGCCCAGAACATTCTCAGGGAGTCCGGTAAGTTCATTTGTTTATCACTGTGTAGCTATTTGAAAGCTTGGAATTATGAGGCGTGATCAAACAATATGGTGAATGTTTAAATAAAAAAAAATTATTACAGTAAAAGACACATTGCCATTAATCCCCCTCAAAATACTCCTCATCACTTCAAACACAGTTATCCCATCGTTCTTGCCACTTACTGAAGCAGTTCTGGAAGTCCTCTTTTGTGAGTCTCCTAATTGTGGTGTGTGTGTCTGTATGTGATTTTAGTTATTACCTGGGAGGATTTAATTGTGCTGGGTGAGAGTGCTTTGCCAGCACTCTCCTCTCCTGACTGGCTCTGCATGTTAACTTCCTTCCTCTAGGGTATGCTGGGAAAATCAGCCAGATGCCAGTGATTCTGACACCATTGCATTTTGATCGGGACCCACTTCAGAAGCAGCCTTCATGCCAGAGATCTGTGGTTATTCGAACCTTTATTACTAGTGACTTCATGACTGGCATATCTGCAACACCTGGCAATGAGATCCCAGTAGAGGTAACTTATGTATTTTTTTCTGATGTACATTTTCAGTACCTCATACATTTTATAATATGATGAATGGAATAGGCTATAACAATGTTGATATTTCTGGGGTTTGTTTTCTGTTCATAAGATCGGCTCTTGGTTTTAATCTCCACATAATTGATTATTTAGTACATTGTAGTAGAAAAAAGCCTTAAATTTATTATATCCCTCAGATGTGTGATTACTATGTGGAGAGTAACCAACTATAATCTATAATTTTATCTTAATTTCACTAACCAACCTCTACTTTATAAATAGTATTCTCAAAGTAAAGAAGAAAACCTAGGAGTGAAGAAGAATTTATTAGAAATAAGGATGAGAATTGATGGAATTATGGCCAGAAACCCATGAATTGCTTAATGCTCTGCCTGCTAGCAATTCCATTTTTGGTCACCATCTCCCTCTCCCATTATCTCCACCAGTGTTCCAAAGGAGATATTTGCTTAATAGCAAATGAAAATCATAGTGAGTCTTGATTAGCTAGACCACTGCTCAATGCAAGGCTCTGGTTGCAGCTGGATAACTGGGCTGGGAAATGGGGTTTAGAGTTTTTTTTGTTTGTTTGTTTGTTTTTTGTTTAAAGATTTTTATTGGGGTATTGGGGGAATGGGAACAGTGCTGGGGAATTGGGGGAAGGGGAACAGACAAGTTGCTGTTGTTTTGTTCTTCAGTCTTGTTGTGGAGGACGTTGCTTCACTGGCCCAAGTTGGCACCATCATTGTGCTCTTCCCGGGTGAGGCAGATCAGTTGCCGGCTTCTGGACAGCCGCTCACTGCGGCTGCTGGCTGCTCACGCTGGCTGCTGGCTACATACGGTAGCCCATGGCAACCCACTGCAACTCACTGCCACAGGGGCTGCAGCCTATGCCTTCGCCGGCGACTCACGGCCGCCCAGCCCAGCTCCAGGTCGAGCTGTTGTTCAGCATCTTAGTTGTAGAGGGCAGTGTCACTGGCCCTCATATGTGGGATCCGAACCAGGGCCCTCTGGCGTCCCAAGCCAGTTCTTAACCATCGCGCCACTCGGCCGGCCCGGGGCTTAGAGTTTGCTTTCCCTTCAGCTTAAATTTGCCAAATCTCTGTTCAATGAAGTGATCAGGCATTCTTCTCCTATACACTCAGCAATGGTTGTTTGTTACAGTGCGTTATGTGCGTTAGTAGCCTCAGAGTTGTTATGTTTAAGCCACAGATAATTTGTGAAGCATTGACTTAAACACATAAAACCATATGTTTGGATGCCGTAGCAATGCCAGAGTCCTATAAATATTTCTAAGCACTTGTTATGGACCAGTAACAAACATAACTTCCATAACTTCCAGGCTGGCACCTGTTTGTGGACAGCACTTTGAATAGTACTGAGTTTGTTACTTAAATATTGAGGGAAATAGATTCACTACATAAAATTAATCAGAGACCATTCCATATACATAGAGGACAATAATAAAGAGAGATCACATTTAAATTTCAAATTGCAAATGCAAGCCCTCTAGGTTTGTTGGACTGCTGTGGATCCTGGATCTCTTATTTATAATCTTTGTTTTATAACAGGTGGTGTTGAAGATGGTCACTGAGATTAAGAAGATTCCTGGTATTTCTCGAATTATGTATGACCTAACATCAAAGCCCCCAGGAACTACTGAGTGGGAGTAATAAACTTCTTGTTCTATTAAAGTACTGTGTGCAGTTTAAATTGATTAGAAACCATTCCCAGTATTGACGGAGCAGCTACATCACATCTGAGTTCTCTACAGCAAAAATCTGTGGCCTAAGGGCTGAGTTGGGGATAACTAAAAGGGACTGAAGAGTCTGTACGGGTATAATGAAAGCGTCATTGCCTCCTCTCAGACAGATTGACACTGCTTTCGCCTTTGCCACACTTGTTCGTTATGTATATAAATCACTGTTGCTATCCATGTCTCTGTCAATGAAGATGTACAGAGGTGGGTGAGTTTGGGGCTAGGAATGGGCCTCTTCCCTTGCCAGCTTCTAAGAGCTGTTAAAACACCCATTATTTACCAGTGTGACTTGGTATGAATACCTTTGGGGGAATCTGAGTTTCCCTGTAAGTAAGTAACCTTATTCTCCCAAAGGTTGGGGGGAAGGGATGAACGTATCAGGTAAAGGTATAGGTGTTCCAGCCACTTTGGCAATACCTGGCACCATAACATGTAAACTTTCTTAAGATGGAAAGCACCAGGAGTTTGTTGAAGTACGTTGGGGTTTTATGATAGCCCCGGGAGAAACCATGGGTGGTCTCAGTTTTAAATGTTTTCAAATCATGTTGCACATAGATGTCAGGTTGCTCACTGTTGGCCTTTTCATTAGTAAGGAGCTTTGTCCTCCACCCGTTACATTGCAGCCCCCACAGCCTTGCATAGGACCTTTCTCTTCCCTCCTAGAAGAGACTGTCTCTGGTGTAGCATAAAGTCTGAGCATTTTAATCCCATTTGGTCAGAGGGGAAGCTCTGAGAGCATGAAAACCATCATGCATGCCCATGGCTTACAAATGCATGCCCGCAGCTTATATCATCTAGTAAAGAGTCGTAAAATGAACCCTTAGCTGTAATCTGTAGACAGGTTTATTACCCACTGCTCAGAAAACTGACCAGTCTTGGTCCATGCAGGCTATTGTCAAACCTTGCAGTCCTTCTACCAGCTGTAAGACAAGATTCAAGAACCGGTGGGGGACTTGGTGCCATTGCCACCAGTTTCTACCAGAGCCTTTATAATCTTCACATAAGCACTATAAAAATGGACAGTATTAGACTTAAATCCTACAACCATTTCCCACTCAATATTTTAGCTGATGTTACTGTTTAAGAACGTTACTGTGTTTTCCTTTTTTCATATTTTAAATTGAGGTATAATTGACATAGAACATTATATTAGTTTCAGGTGTCCATGTTTTTCTAATATTTCCATCTCAGGTTGTTGCCTCGTATTTCAAAATCTTGTGTTAATCAGGTACAAAATTTTGTTTGGGATTCATTGTTAGATAAACAATAAAATTATGCATGGCAGATGTTTTCCTTTCATTCTGGCTGGCCCAGAGGACATGAAAACTGTGTTGCTGGACCATCAGGGAAGAGGTTCAGTCGGTTGTAAGTGATACCCTTACCTGAGACAGGAGTCAAATGACTTCTACAAAACTTGAAGGGCTTGCTCTCTGTCCTGATGATGAGGTATTCATAATGGCCTTTTGGAAAGAGGATATGGTAGTGATCTGCAATCATGTTATTTTACACCTGGAATAGACAACCTACAAAAAGTTTACAAACATTTATCTTTGTGGGAAAAATTCCTTTTATATAGCAAAAGTGTCATGATTTTGTATTCAAGCAAACAATAGGAATCATGAAAGACTATGTAGTAGTAGAGTTTTTTTCCTAAAGTATGTTCTGTGGTACATTGCTTCAGTGAGATGGCCCATGTGAAAAGCGTTAGGTCATATAAGCTTGGTAAGTGCTGCCCGCTTGTCCTTCCATCTTGGTTTACATTATATTCAAAGTTCTGAGAAAATTTGAAGTTAAAACAATAGGTTAATTTTTTTAACCTAATGTTTTTCTGATGTTTGTTCGCTAAATCCTTCTTACATAGACTCACTTAATACTGGAAAAATGGTTTCTCCAAAACACACCTTGACATGATATAGTAAAAAATTAAAATTTCTGGAATTCAGAAATTCCCTAATGTTTAATACCCTCTCTTCATTTGCAGAGCACTTTTTGCTTTGTGCCATACATTGTTGCTCTATAACTTTACAGTATTTCATTTGAGCAACTGAGAAGCGTTAAGGTTACAATCCCATTTAATAGTTAAGGACACAAGCTCAGCATATAATGGTTACCTAATGAGTTTCGGAATTAAATACGATCCTTGGTAGATTGTGACTGCATTCCCATCATTCCCCACCTACCTGGGACACCTCTCTAGCTAGTTAGACATATTTTTTCCCCTTGTACTTATTAGAAGGAGGACAGCAGAGCAGTGAAAGCACCATGTATTTCTAAGATTGGCAAGCACAAAAGAATTTTTAACAACCAAATATCCAGCCCCACCTTAATGGTCCCATCTATGATAGTCAGCTGTGTTAGAATAACATAGTTAGCCTGGCATAAATTTTTACAGAAGGCCTTTAGATGTGTCTTGGAGATAGGTTTACAGTGTTCTCCCATCTTGCTGCCTCTTCATCCTGAGAATTGTAAAAATTTGTGTTTGTTTTTTTTTTTACAGTGTTTGGGCTTATCTCTTGATAGCCTGTTTTACCAAATACCTTGAATCAAACCTCTAGAGAAAACGCATTCAGATTAGGTAGGTGGGACCATCCATGATTCGTGCTTTGTCCTGCCATTAAAAAGCTGTGTGATTTGGTCAAGGCATTTCTGTTTTTTTATCTGTATGATGAGGCAATTGGATTAAATTTACAACATCAAATCCAGCCCTAAATTCTTATTTTATAAATAACAAGAAAAATCAGCAAGAGACAAAATGTAGAAATGGAATCGTTTTTTTAAAAATTCTTTTAAAATAAGGTAAGACTTAAAGGCCAACATCAAAATAACATTGTAAAATCAAATAATTACCCTTTTTTGAAAGCTGTGGTTTGAATACTTCAGAATCTTTCTCCTGTTGTGACTGTGACACTTGGAAAATATCCATCTGCCTGTACCCAGTGGCAATCTCTCTACTGTGTGTTTTTGGAAAAGAACAGGACATGCTTTGAGACTAATGAAAAGTCTCCATAATCAGTTACATACAGCTAATTGTTGGCAGAGCTGGCGCTAGAATCCAGGCTTTCAGCTCTCTGTGTTGAAGACGTAATGCTCTAAGGCCCTTCAAGGTACAGCTGAACAGGAAGTTATCAGTGTGAAATGGACCACAGGTATAAATGTGCTTCCAAAGTGTTATTCGTCTCCTTATTGACAATAAGTTAGTGCTTAGCTTTCTGGAGATAGTACTATCTTCAGAAATTGCACTGACACTCTTACGCCCAATGTTACACCCCTGTTTCTTTCAACCTTTCACAGTGCTTCCCTCCAGTACTCGACACTTTTCTCCACTTTTCCCCTCTCTCCTAAGTTCTCATTAGAATGTGGTTAGGAAACAGCTATTACCAATGGTTGCTCCTTTCATTGGTCCAAATTAAGAATGTAACAGGGAACTGAATACAAGTTGGATGCCTCCACCCTTGGAAAGTGCCCCTTTTGTCCCTACTGAGGTGGTTTAGCCACACAGGCAATACAGGGAACAAGGGTATCTTTTTCACCACTTGAGAGGTTTGACAATAGTAATAATAGTGGCATCCTTGTCTCATATTCCTGAACGTTTCATTTAATGACAAGTGAAGAGATTTGGAATCCCCTATGGAGTGCCAAATGCCGGCTTCCAGCCCTAATCTTATATATTGAAGAGGCCCAGGTATTCTACCCAACTCGAACCTTTTTGTCAGTAGTTCTCAACCCTAGGTGCCTAGACTACTACCTGAGGGGTTAAGTCTGTATAATGCTGAGACCCCACAATCAAACCAACCACATTTGATTTAGTTGTGGGGCCCAAGCATTGACAGTTTTAAATCAGCTGGAATAAATTTAATGAGGGACATACCTGGCCTGTCTCCTTACGGTTTAAAATCTTAAACCTGTCAGTGAGAGTAAAAGACCATAGGTGCTGTCTTGCTGAAGATCTCATAGCTAAGTTAGTTCAGAACTAGGGACCTTTGGAACTGATTCTGCTTATACTGTGCTGTAGCTCAGACACTCCAAACACCTGTTTGGTAGCGTTGAGGGCAGCTGACATGAATGTTGCCTCTGTTGAGATCTTTGCAACAACTCACGGGCATCTGGCTTTCAACCTCTTCCTAATCCTTTTGCTTTTTGTCAAAGAGGAGAAATCCAGCCCTATGCTGCAGCCACCTCTCCAAATCTGATTGATTCCAGATCATGAAACTGAGACCGAGGTCTTACTGTACCTGTTCAAAAATCCTGGAGCTGTGTCATTTGGATAATTCTCTAGAGAGCTAGAGACGACCTGCCTGTAACCTACGCTCCCTAAATGAGAATCTTTTGAGCAGCTCCATCTTAATTTATCTCCCCATTGGTTCACTGGCCAATCCTGTGGCATCTTTTGACCTTGTTAAGGGCCCTTTAATTAGCAAAATCATGACAGTTGGCAGGGAGTTCGGCTATTTCTTGGATATACTAAATTCAGTAGCTTCAAAATTCTCCGAGTTGTTCCAGGAAGCCTGAACCTTGAGCAATTGAAGGTAGAGTACATACTTTTGGAGAATAGCGATATTTAAGGTAAGTACTTTTCTGTCTTTGAATCTATGACCATTGCTACAACCTTAAGATATTAAATGAAGAAGTGAATGTAACCTTTTGAACATTTTGTATAAAGAAATGTTTTGTTGATTGGAGTAAGTAGCATAGTTGAGAAACCATGTAATTGTTCTTGGTGTACTGAAACGTCCACTGTATGTTGTAATGTAGGCATAAAATAGCTTTGCTAAATTAATGTGAAATTATGTTAATGCCTTTTATCTTCAATATACACATAAAGGAGGAAATTATGACTTTCATAATTCGTCATTAAGCTTCAGTGTTCACGAGAAAGAGAAGCGAGAGAGCAAAGAGGACAGACACTATCAGGATGTCGGAAATAAAAAATTGCATGTTAGGGGTTTCTGGATAATAAACTTAATCTCTTTCTCTTACATATGTAAGAGGGTGACAGCGTTTTACCCAGAGTGATAACAGTGGACATAAAATATAGGATAGCATTTAATTTAAATGATTAGCTTAAAGGGGTGTGTATTTGTGTTTCTAAAATTACACATACATTCTTGCATATTCATTTACACTTTATCAACTCAATTTCTTAAAACAAATTACCTTTATTAATTTGATAACAAAAGTTGACGCTTTGCATTGTTTGAAACTGTTATCAGAGTTGATCCAACCCATCAAAGTAAATGTTTATATTAGTGAGTTACCAATATGAAGGCGAGAGGAAATAACCATGTTCAGAAACTGAATTCAGTAATTGCTTTCAGGTAGCTGCATTGCTCCAATAAGTTTCCTTTCAGATCAGTGATCTGGTCTGGTCTGCTATCTACAAAGACTTTCATTCAACTGTATTTTGAAAAGTTTTTATCTTAACATGACTCAAAACAAAAATATTACTGAGTTTTTATCTTGAACTTTCAAAAATCTGTCATTCTTTAAAAAAATATTAATATCAAAAGCTATATTTCACATCATAGCTATGTAGTTTTTTTTAGCTTGTTATTCTAATGATTTATATATATAAGATGCTAGAAAAGCAGCTAGGAATTCTACTTTAAACTGACTGTTACCCAAATATTGTGTCAATTTCTAATTAAATGCTTTTTTCATATTGAAGAAGGCTATTCCATATGCAGTTTTATATTACTGTTCTTTTAGGCAGTATGTAACCTGTCAACATATCCTTTCTTTGAAAAATTTAACACATAGAGAAAACTTTTAAAATTTTTCACTTAACGTGGCTACATTAAATAGTGAAGAACACGAGAACCTTTTGTCAAGATGCCTTTACCTAATTGCATTAGGATGATTGATACTCGCTCTAAATAAGAAAAAAGTTTCAATGGATTAAAAAACAGTTAAGTGCAAAGAAATTCCATATTGTGATGCTTTTGGAAAGCACCTTTTACAGTGGGTGGTGAGGATGTAATGATGTAATGAGTGGAACTACTTATAGAAGTTTTTTTCTTGTTACTATATTGATTTCTCATTGTAAAGCAAAGGGAAACAGTCCCAAACCACACACACTTAAAAAAAGTCTTTTTGTTAAGTAGACAGTGATGGCGATCGCTTGAATGTGTTTTCTGGTTTTAGAGATGTGTTTTATTAAGGCACAGAGGGAGTCAGCACTGCTCACATTAGATTGGGAAGAAATTGAATTTAAAGCTTGCTAAAGGAACACAGCTATCTTGGATATACTGTATTTCCCCATGTATAAGATGCACCCTTTTTCAAAA